TAGATGTTACCGAGTGTAGATCAGTGCCCTGAAAGATCTGTCAGACACTTTGGGAAGGAGCCAAATGATTCTAATTATATTTTTTGCTTCTTTTGACATTTTTTCTTTTTTTAATCTTTTGATAAAAATTGTTTCTTTAAGATAGACTTGACCTGAATACTGGAACATTCTCAGAAACAAAACAAAACAAAATTGGAGAAGTGCTTTCTCCTTGGATCAAATTGTATCATATCAAGAAAATAAAGCAAAAAACAGGACACAAATCGAAGTATATTTTTCTTTGTGCACCCTGTGAGTTTAACAGTTTGGACATCAGTGCATTTTCATTTTGAAAGTGCGAGTGAATCACCGCTCTACATCGCAGCCTCACTGTGAAGAGTAAGCAGTATTATAGCCATTTGAATGCTGGGCAGACCTTAAATTGGCTCTCTCTCAAATACAGATGCAATGAATTTCACATGGGAGCTCAAAGAACAAAGTGCTCTCAATAACACTCTACACACACACACACGCAATCTCCCTCTTTCTCTCTCACACACACACTTTTACATTTACATATATCTATATATATATAGGCCTGTCTGTATATTGTTGCCAAAAAGCTTAAACTAAAAGCTGTAAACAATGTAATCAAATCTCCACAAACAACATCATCTGAAAACATTTTGTACTGTTTACATATTTCAACCAAATCTGTGCCCATTACAATGTGAAGTGCCTTCCATCAGTTTAAACAGCATCCCCAGCCTCATTTGCAAGTCTTCGATGAGTTTTGCACTTTTGAGACACTTGGCTCTGCTGCACCGGCTGGCCCAGAATCAGCAATTTTTAAAGAAATGGAAAAATGTATCCCTACACCATGTCCAGTGCAACCCTGTCAGGTGTCATCGGCCCCGTCTTAACAGAAATCCACAAGTCCTCTGTATTGGCTGAATTTTTTTTCTTCTTCTGCTCAGACCTTGCGGTTGCCATGGCGTCTCTGCAGCAGCAACAGCCGTTGGCATGGCGACAGCAGCAGCAGTGGCAGCACACCACAAAAGTAATGAGGAGGACCAGCAGGGGAAGCGTGAGGAGGACCACCAGACAGACTGTGTTGTAAACCCCCTGGTTGTGTTTGTCAGTGGTGAACCTCCAGATTTGGTTGAACAAATCCTGAATGCTGTCAATTTTGTCATCCATGGCTTCAGGATACAGAACTGTGACAGCTTTTTAATTGAGTCTGTGGCAGTTTTAAAGTTTTTAATGGATCCTCTGGAGAGTTTTGAAGTTTACAAGATAGTAAACGAGCATAAAAAGGCTTCTGGAGATACCAAAAATAATTAAGATATGGTGTTAATTTGTGTTAAAAGTCCTTTCATGTGATGTGACTCCAGTTTTAGAGTGGTGAGATGTGACGTCTCACTGTTCAGCAGTCTAACAGCTGTTGGGTCAGATATCTCTGGTGGCTCGACTCTGAACTTTCATGTACTTCTCATCCTCTCATAGAGATATGCTTTCAGATAGTTGCCCTGAGACGCAGCAGTATCTGATGAGGCCCGTACATGAGGAACAATTATTTGTAGATGCCTCCGTCAATGAGGGCCTGAGTATTTTGTTTTTTTTAAACAAATCCAAAAGACCAAAAGCTCAATTGTTTATAGGAGGTCCTCTTTGAAATCTGATGATTTTGATCAAGAGGAAAAAGCCAAAATCTGCAGCCAGGTTTGTTTGTTTATTTCATTGCCACTTGACATTCCGCGGATTGTTCTCTTGGTCTTTGTCCTCTCAAGTCATCTCTTGTCCTCTTGCTCTCAGTTTAGTTTAATCCAGTTGTGAAGAGGTGCTTCAATTTGGTCGCATCTCTGGAACAAAAAAAAAGAAGAAAAGAGACAGAGTGAACGTGGACAGAAATTCAGTTTCCAGCAGACCGCTGCTCTTCAACCTCCATCTTTCCCTTCCCTGACTCCACTCCATCCATCTTTCTCTGTCTTTAACGTCTCTACTCCTGCTCTTCTCCTTCTCGTCAATGTCAGCTTTAGATTTTTTTTTTCTTCTGCTCTCCCCTCATTAATACTGCAGAGGAGTCATTCAGGATTCAGTGCAGATCTCTTTAAGAGTCCCACTGTGGAGGACGGGGGTGAGGGGAGGGAGAAATGGAGAAATGGAGGAAGATTGTGTCTGAGGGTAGAAGAGACAGAGATGGAGATAACCAATCTCTCTAAGAGTCTCGCTGAGACGAAGAGTGCGACAGTGTCAGGCAGAAAACGAGAGAGGGAGAGAGACCTGCTTTATTTGAATGCAGCGAATGGTTCCCATTGGAGGAGAGAGACTCTTCTTTTTACCTGTGTTTTCAGAATTGTCCGACTGCAACATTTTCCTCAGACCTCGGATGAAAACTTCTCTTAGCGGCTGACCTGGAGAAGAAAACACGAGGTGAGGCATTTAAGCTAGTGAAGTAGTTCTGAAAGTTAGTCTGAAAAATAAAAGCAGATGTTCCTTTTTCTCTGAGTGTATAGACGGTTTGATTGAATGTGAGGCCTTGAAGCAGCAGCTTCATTTAAACAGTGTTAAACAACCATAGTTTTTCCAAAGACAGTCCCTTTGTGTCTCTGTAGCTCACGGCCGCAGTGCTTCTTTAGATTCTAGTTGCAGGAGCGTTTTCATCTCTCGTCTGACTGCGTCTGAGGACGAGATAGGGGACAGACGCACCTGCGAGAGGAGAGCAAACCGATTTGCCATGGCTGTCACTGTGTGTTGGGGTTCATGTGTGAAATTGGTTTAACCACAAACGGCCGGCTAACTTCTCCCCTGTTTGCAGGAAGCTGAGTGCTCAGAGTTAAGCAGCAAGAGTCAGTTGAAACTTCAGAGTGAGAGCTGATCCGGCACGTCGTTAAAAACAGAACAGATCCAAAATAAATTACTGCATTTGAAGCTGAGCTTATTTTCATATCAAGAGTTAAAAACAAGGGCATATATGCAGCTGTGAGCCTGCGACAGCTGAGGCATGAAGCTTGAAAAACAATGTTTGTTTTTTGGATTTCAGGTGAATGTGCGTCATACATGTACAGATGTCCTGATTTGGGATGAGATAAAATTGCTTCCATTAGAGTTAGGGTAAGTCCACTAGATCGATCTCGTAAAATGAAAACCAAGAAAAGAAAAATACATTTGCTATGTCCCACATCCATGCTACATCTTTATTGTATACTCTATATACCATACACACAATTCGACTCTATATTGTTTTGCAATGTATAGAAGGAAGTTGAACAGGAAACACACACTCTGTGTAGAAGCAATCAAACTGAATGCACAATGAAAATGATTTATCCCACAAAGTCTGAAAATATTTTAATCTATTGTGCTTAATGTGAATTTACAATTTGCATATAACAATGAAATTGAAATATTAATTAATATTATTATTAATATTTATCATTAAATATTTGTAACGAAGGGAACTTCATTACTAGTAACTGTAGGCGTATGCATTGTAAATATAAACATCAACATAGCAGAAAGTTTACTTGAGCGCGCTTAAGACTTTTGAATGACATATGTATGTCCTGATGTCATCATCTATGGGTTGGGTCTACCTATACTTGCATTTGTTTGTTTGTATGTTTGGATAAAGTGGATAGAAAAAAAAGTTTTGTCAATTTACAATCAGCAAAATAAAAGTCATCATTATTCAAACACTATATTAGAAAAACGGCAAGCAATCCTGCAAGGCACTTCTTTTTCTTCTTCTATTGTTAAATGCTGTTCCAACTTCCTGTAATTAGCCTGTTTCCCCACGTCAAATGATCCAAACCATGCTTCAGTTTAATCTGGAATGTGACAACCTCTTTTCAGTTGCTCTGAATCTTGGTGCATTGCTCCAGCCTGTGATTCCAGGCACCTTTCACACCTGTTGCTTTGGTTCAAACAAAACTGAAAAGTCTGAAGATTCGGAACAAACAAGGAAGGTGCACGTGTTCATTCACATTTTGTTTTGACAATTTTTTATGGAAAATTCTTAAGATATTGGACTTTCCCTCATTTCTGTGCACATTGTCAGGAGCCACTTTGCCACAGTGTAGGTACGTGTTGCTGTGATGAGCTTGTCTGAGCTGTGGTGCCCTTGTGTACAGTCTGATCCCCCTCACATTATGAAAACACTGTCAACGTGACAAACACCAAGTCACCAAACAAGGAGTTTATTAAAAAATAGCAGCACAGAGGTGAGAGGTAGTTATATAAAAGACATGACTCACAATGTATCATTAAATGGAATGGATAAGTCAGTAGGTGTAGTGATAATCTCCAGTCTCTGCCAGACACAATGAGATCACTGTGAGTTATTTTTGCAAACTGGGGTATAGGCACTTTAACCAACAGTGGAAATACAAAAGATATTATACACCTTCATATATATATATATATATATGTATGTGAGCCTATATATATATATATATATATAGGCTCACATACATACAGCAGCCTTGCTAGTTATTATAATATTGTATTGTCACATGCCTCAGTGATTGCCATTAATATTTCCTCAGCAGGCTATTTGCGGCATTGACAGTTACTACAGGGGTTCACATGATAACTGCTGATGAATTGAGTTTAGTTTAACCATTTAGCAAAGCCACAGAGCAGCAGATACCAGAACATGGTCCTGTTTTTAAAATAGTTGTGCTTGTATACGTTTTAAAACAGGGCTCTAGGCTTGAAATATTTCCTTGCTTCACATTTTCTCACTGAGATGCATTTCCAAGACTCTCACTGCACGGGTACGTTACTTTCTCATGACATTGTGCTCTCCTGGAACCATTCATATGCAGGAAAGGCCATTTCTGGGGCACACAAAGCCAGGAAGGGGCTGAGAAAAATGTTGTGATTGCACTCAGTTAGCCCCTGCTGCTTTTTCAGGGACATTTGTGACCTAAAAGACAAAGTTGTGACAGAAGGCATGGCAGGAATCTTTAATGACTCGCCCCCAGCACACGTTCACAGCAGATCCCTCATTAGGCAGCATTAACACACTGAACTTGTACACATTTCAGTTCTACTTGAGTCAGCCACCAGCGAACCATCACCATTTGTTTTATCTTTTTACAGAAAGATGGAGTTACCTGACTAAGTGCAGCTGTTACACTTGGTCGAATACATGCTTTTGGATCATCTGGAGGAGTGCAGCACTGCACAGTGTGCAAGTGTGCAAGCCCATTACAGTTCAGACTTGCATCAACTCGATCATGACTGAGTGGGAACAGCAAAGTGGAGGACATTCTTACTTAAAGAGCAGGAGGAGGACAATCATGAAACTGGAAAAACTCTAAACTGTTTGAGTCAAAGACCTTTATTTAATTTTTGCAAAGTTTCATAGAGCAAAGCACCAGGCTGTTATTCTTCATATTCTGTCACAAATGTCAATGCATAATGTTTCATTTCATGCAGTCCTATTTAAACTCAGTGATGTAGACTGGGTAATACTGACTCAAAAGCAGGAAGAAACTTATCAGCTTATAGCTTCAAATGTCAAACATCTTGTCAAATGTGACCACAGCCAAAAGAACGTGTTCTGAGTCTGCCACAGCACAGCAGCAACTCTATCTAATTTCCTCAAGTCACACAACAACAAAAAAGCATCACCGACTTATATAAACCACTCAGTGCAATTTCAAGGTATTTAAAGTTAGCTGGCGCTAAAGATCTCTTTGAAAGTGGCACCTTACCCCACAGGCACTTGTGAAGTGGCAGGTCAGGTCTCCTCTCCTGTCTAATCCACTCAGCTGCTCAGGCTTCTGTAGTTTTTTCTGTGTTTTGACGACTGGCTCTTGCTCTGCTCTGGTCCCCCTCACCCAGACATCTTGACAAGTCTTCACTTTCTGTTCCTGTTTCCCTCTTTACCCTCATTTCCCGTCCTCCTCCCACTCCTCCTTCCCCTCCCCCTCCTCCCCCCTCCTCCCCTAGTTGAGTGTGTGTGTTTTGGTCACGACGTCATCGCTCCCTGCCTACTTAGTGTAAGAATGGGCCCTCTGTCTGTGCTTATACGCTTCCTGTACGACATGCTGGATTCTTGCGGTTGGTTTACTTTGCTCACACAAGCATTTGAGTGATGTCAGGCAGAGCAATATAGTTGTGCAAAGTGAATATGAGGAAATAAAGCCATTAGATGACTAAAGGTTTCTCACAATAATGTCCACATGAGGGATATTGAAACCAAAGCTACCGTCCATGCCCTGAAAGAGTTGCAACACCAGAATAAGTTGCAGGCGTACGCTGCAACAGTTTGCGTAACAACACAAAATTATATCTTAAACCAAACACCACTCCTCCCATCTCAGAGCCCCACAAGGTGGGAGTAAAAAGGGGAGATGTAAACTGTCTGTGTGTGTGTGTGTGTGTGTGTGTGTGTGTGTGTGTGTGTGTGTGTGTGTGGAAAGTACCACCAGGTGAAAGAGTCCCATGCAGGCGAGATATGAAAAAGTGATGTCATGCAAAGTGTGCACACACACATTTACTGTGCCTGTGGCAGTGTGGTCAATACCCTTTCAGTTCAGTCAAGCAAAAGAGGATTTTTTTTCAAGGAGGAATAAAGAAGAAAAACGCATTTCTGCTGGTATTAAATTGCACTTGATGTAATCTCTCCTGAAAGAAGGAAGTCGTGTACTCACATACAGTGTGATATGGGCTTCAGAACATACAAGAGGCCGGATGCATGAACTCAAAAAGTGGGTCTGCAGTGTTGAGTTAAATAAAATGTTTGTCTTGTTATTTTCTCATAATAATGACTTAAGGTTTTTCACGTCTGTAGTTCATGGTGGTGAGAATATCAAAAAGTTAAACAAGAATATTGGGTGAAAAAAGGCATTTCCTGTGAAATATGATCAAATGACTAGCGCTATTTCACAATCATCCACTGCAGCTGCAGTAGTGATGGAAACATGTTCTGTTATAATCACCAAAACACACTTTGTAGGGGCACGGTTACATTGAAGAGATCAGCCTTGCCCATTCTGCAGGTGTGTCTTAGCCATCTTAGACACATAGCAACCGGCCGCCCACACACACGTACACACACACACTGAGCGAGCACAGAGGGTGCTGTATGACAGGCAGGGCGTGTAGTGCTCCTTAGTGAAACTACAGTATATCCCAGCTGCTCTTGAGGCACTGTCCAGTCACCTGGAGCAAGTGTTGATTAATGACCTCAGTGTAGCAGCACTGTCCTTGATGCAAATACTTCTTTGCAGTACTTCACAATTCCACTATATACTTCATTGGTTGCAGCACATGCAGACATCATCTTTACCTTGTGTAAATCTGCTTCAAGCACAGATCCAACCTGCAGGTGTCATGTGAAAAATTGAGGAAAAAATCTTGTTTTTCAGCCATGAAAATGAGGAATAATCTGTAAAGGTTTTTCAACAATGAGCTCTTTTCAGATCTTTGTGATTCTACATCAGGCAAATGCTGCTCAGAAAATACGACCAATAGCTCCTGGATAAAAGCATCATGGTGATTTTTTTCCTCTTTCTTTTTTACCATTTCCTTGATGGACACTGTGATTTGTTGTCACATCATAAGGACTCCATTATTCCTTCCCTTCTTTCCAAAGGTAACTTATGTTCATCTAACACTGCAGTGACCCTCATATGTGTCTCATTTCCTCCATGGAAACCTTTTTCTCAATTGATATGGTGCTGACCCTGGGCTATAATAGGCGTAACTCCCATCTGGTATTTAGAAACTTCATTCTCACTTGAGCTCACCTATATGGAAAAAGGCTCAGACAATATATCCCTTTATCCAGCACAAGTCTACAGCTGAACAAATTGCAGGAAAGACGATTGAGCTCACACTGAATCACTGATCATACAACCATGATAGCACAAAAAAAAAGTGGAGGTGACATTCTCAGTAGCATTAGCTTAATGGAATCACTGGGTTGTCTGAAAGGGCAGTAAAAATCAATATGAGCCACTGGTTCTATACCAACACATCCTGAAATATGTGAGTGTGTCTGTGCACCCTGTGAGATTTTGAACGTGAGTGCTAATAAAAAGTGACTAAAGGGTTGCTGTAGTGGAATCTACAGTATCCAGGAATAGCCTGGTAATACAACCAGTCCCCCCCAGGGAAAAACCTTAGCTGTGATTCAGTCCTGTAACGTGTTTGGGCCCGGCACAGTGAAAACAGGCAACATGGAGAAAGACATTTGTCTATATAAGGAATTTCATGTTGCTCTGAAAAAAGGGCTTCTTGAAGAACTATTGGTTGGCATGTAAACGTTCAGGCCTTTACGAGGACACAGATGTGCTCATGCCAGCGATGATGTTAGTCTGTGCTATTTCATCATTTAATCATGTAATAGTCTCAGCATAGTTGTCACATGACATGTTTTAAACATTTCTTTCAACAAATGTTTGATCAGCATGAATAGATACAAGTGATGCTGACAGTTTGCAGTAAAAAAAATTACTTCTATTTAATTGTATCTACTGGGGGATTTCTAAGTTCCTCTTTGCTTCCCAGTATGTCCAAATACAGAAAGAACAAAATGAGACATGAGAAATGTGGGACTCACCAACTAATGTTTGCTAACATGGACAAAGAAAAAAAAATCATGTGACCAAATGAAAAATGTGGAAATAGAGAGATTGATATGTATTAAAGGAAAAATTGTACCTTTGTGTGATATTTTGGGGAAATACTAGTATTTCTTTCCAGGTGTTCAGCCAATAAGATTGGTTGCTGCAAGCCAATTGATAAAAATTGCTCACATTAGCTTAGCACAAAAACTGCAAACAGGAGGAAACAGTTAGCATGGCTCAGTTCAGATCCAAACAAATCTACCTACACCAACAGATCTAAAGTACAGATTTCTCAAGTTCAAGTTCAATTAGAAAATTTGAACAGTGAGGAAAAACTACCTTCTCTTTAAAATACTATTCAACCTCAATTTGAATCCACATGACGGTAATTGAATCTTTACTTGCTTTAATCTGCTCACTGCATGTCTATCATTTTTTCATCTCTGTTAATAAATGTCTCAGCTCGGTGGCTAACTTCATTCAAAACAGCAAGTGAGCATTGGTTTATATGAGAGGCCCCAGAGGAAGAAAACCGCTCTGGAGAAATGTGCTTGTGTTGACCGTCTTCTTCTTGCATTAACTCAACAACTTGAGGTGGACATTTCTCAACACAAACCACGTGACACTTTAGGTCTGTCTCAATTCAGGACGCTGCATTTCAAGACCGACCACAGAAGCAGGGCTAGACTGTCCCATTTCCAAGGCTCCTTCAAATGTGGCCAACAAATGTGTCCTTTCCATCCTCAATAAACGAAGACTCCAACAGGAAGATCCCTTCTGGACTATTAATCTATCCGAGGATTCAATGTGCTTTGGTGACAAACAGATTTCTAATGATGTTGGTAAGTGAGGAGATGTCTGATGCTCGATTATCAGGCTTTAACTCAAAACAATGCTCATATTTAAAAACCAAAGGGGCATGAAAACTTTCTTGTCAAGTCCAACTGCAACTCTGTTGCTAGGTGACAGCAACAAGGGCTGAACAAGCTGGTGAAGCTGATCATGGAAATCATCTGTAGAACAGACTCTCTAACAAAATCTTGAACATGTGACACTGCTCTTCCTGTAAGTGATGTGATAAAAAGTACAGAAGCACTTCTCTGCTGAGCTGCTCCCTCGGGTCACTGTAGACCTGAGAGACACTTTTATATATATATGTCAACTCTCATATCTGAAAGGCTCCTGAGGACTTCTCTGTACTTCAGCAGATGCAGCAAGCATTAAACAGCCCTGCTGGCACATGGCAAAAATCAACTCTGTTTCCTATGTGGCCTTAAATCATGAATAGAAAATAGCACAGCATCTACTTGGAGTGGGAAGAAGAAACTGCAGCATATCTTTGGGTGGAAGAAGTATAGTTATTGTTTACTTAAAGGTGCAGTGTGCAGAATTTTGTGATATCTGATGTTGAAATTGCATTTTGCAGCTGAACACCCCTCACCTCACCTTCTCCTTCCAAACAGGAAAAAGAACATGTGGTAGTCTTTAATTGTCTGTAGAGAGGGTCCCCTCAATGTAAATATAAAGTATTTTAATATAAAGGGTCTTTTCTGGKGTAARGAAAACTACAATTCATACAATTTAGATGAAATGAACTAGTGAAAACATCATGAGGATTATTCTACATTACATTTCTGCCAATAGTTCCACCTGAATCTTACACACTGGACCACTGGACAAATACGTCTTTCATTTAAAATACCACTAAGTAAAAAAGATTTATCAGCTAAACGTAATATGACATATATGCAGGATATCGTCCCTGGGATTGGTTTATACGGCATTATTATATTATATAATATAAAAAGGTCACGTGTAATTTAAATTACATTGTTGCGCAGTAGTGTGTATGGAGGAGTTTCCTTTTGGATCAGCCACAACATGATCAGTGTATACATCAGATACATCAGGAGACGAGAGGAAAACTAATTATATGAATAAAATCACAACCATCGGAAAGGAGGTGTGTCATCCGAAATCTGAAATCAGATCAAAAACGTCAACTCACGTCCACATTTACAGGCCAGTCCATTCCAGAGTGTAGTCTGTGGTTCAGTTTGTGCTCCAATAAAAACCTGAGCCTTTAACTCCACAACAAATAAGAACAGGGAATAATTGCTCTGTCATTATTAGCTCTGAAAAAGAAAAACAGTCTCATTAAGCAGTGTCCAGCCTCAGAGCGTCCATTCATGCATTAGTTCATTAACTGCAGTGTTCAAGACTGTTAAAAGACTTAATGAATGGTTGGATTGATCCGTCCAGTAATAGGTGTTTTTCCTCATCTTT